TTAATTCGTAAAAAATTTAATTTGTTATCAACTCGACGCCTGATTATTATACAAATAAACGGAAATGTGTGTGGCTGCGCCGCGCGAGAAGTTCATAAAAATTAATTCTTTCTCTCTCTCTCTCTTTCTCTCTCTCACTCTCTATCTCTTTCTATACAAAGGATATACGAAATATTTAATAAAGTGAATTAACGCGGCAAGTTTCATAACCATATGTTGCAAACTGCGACAGGAATGTCGAAGTTCCGTGAAATAAACATTCCGTTCATAGCTGAAGTTCGGAGCACGATCATTAATATCGCTTCCTATTACCATGATTCGGACTACCGTCATTACCAAGGCGAAAGCATTCGCCCATTTTGCGAGCATATTGATTAGATTGCTAGATACTGCACGTCACTTAATAAAAGTTTATAGATTATGATTATTATTATTAAGAAAAATGTGTAGGCAATGCATTCCTCGAGTATTTCTACAATTGCAGTCTTATCAAGATTTCTATTCCTATCTTGACAATTTGATCGCAATTTTTTATTTACGAATGGGCAAGGTTTAACGCTGCGTGCATTGTGCGTGTCGTACGCGAAAAATGAAACGTAATGTTCGGAAATGACCAGGACGAAAGTTGCAGGCAAATCGCAAGAGCGAAGGGCCGACCTGCTCCCCGCGGGGCAAATTTCCGATTTATTCAAGCTCGCTCCCGAATACTTGGGAGCCCATAAAGAGAATGAATGGGATTGTGGCGGTCGCCGCAATGCTCAGGGCTGCTTTAGGGGTTCATGAAATACGCGCTTGTCGCCCTGTTTCTCTCTCTCTCTCTCCTCATCTTTCATTTTCTCTCTCTCTCTCTCTCTGTCTTTTTCCTTCTCTCCTCATCTTTCACTTTCTGTCTCTCTCGGACCTCTTCCCTGTTCCTTCCTACCCTCCTACTCACGCTGTCGCACTCGGCTCCCCCTTTTCGCTTGTCCCCCATTGCGCTCTTTACCCCCTCCCGTCTCTTCGCGAATCGAAACTCCTCTCTGCAGGGTGGCCAGCGGTATTACCATGAATTTACATAGCTTCGCTTCGAACTCCGAACATATTGCGTCGCTTTGATTTATGCGAAACATTTGCTAAATATTCCGGCTTAATCTCGGCCACGCGAAATGCCCTTCGCGGGAGAACGCGAACTTGCGCTCGCTCGCGCGTAATGAGGGGTAAACGAGGTGTTTCCTCTGAAACGCGGTAAACAGAAGGAACGCGATAGGGGCACTTTATAAATGTCAAATCGCGGAGGAGAGCTCGACGGGGAGAGCTTTGCGACCACCTTGCTCAATAACAAGCATGTTGGAAAATTCACGCGCCGTCGAAGATTTACGGGAAAACAAATCATTTCGGGAGACACCGGGGATCGCGGGGAAATCTATTTCGGCGAACTTTAAGGATTACGCTTCTTGTGATTTATAGCCGTATCGGCTAGGTGCGTACGAACCACGCATCACATTTTGATACGAGATTCATGAATAACTCATAGGCTCGATGGAATAAAAGTTGTATCGAGTTAAAAAAAAAACGAACAACGGACGCGAACGGAACGACGAGGAGCGTCGGTGGCAGGATGGTGAGACCGGTGACTTCCGGCGTTGCTTATAATTGCTCCGGCACTCAGTTTCTGGTGCCTGGGATTGCCTCGGGCATTCCACCTAAACACTTTGGCAGTGGATTTACAGCTCCGTCTTCCCGCGTTTTGCGGTTACCTCGAAAGTACGCTCGAAATATCATACCTCGCTTTCAAACGATTTTCTCGCGAAGGAACTTGTGTTGCAACTGAAAGTGGTTGCATTCAACAATTGCGCATTACAATTAGTCTCTCTTTTTGGATATTTAATATTGTATTATTAATTATACTCGCGTATATTTATGCATTAATTCTTGATTATTTTCTCAGTAATTAATAAATATTGTTTTAAAGAATATCTCTAACAATAAGTAATTGTATAAGCAATTGTTACATATGTATATAATTTTAAATATATTCTTAATATCTTTGATAAATTTTTTTTTTTCTTAGATAAGTTTAACTTAAGCGAAACTTTAAAACTATTTTTTGAACTCGATTTAGAATTATCAAAATCAGTCTTCTGTTGCTTGAATTCTGGCAAACCTCATTTGGAAGGTATTAAACCAAGATTTTTATATAAAGATATTCTTTAAAACAAATTTTATATGTATGCTATGTTTTATTTTATGTATTTTTGTTTTTCCCCTCTTTTACATTTGATATGTTAATTCGTAAAAAATTTAATTTGTTATCAACTCGACGCCTGATTATTATACAAATAAACGGAAATGTGTGTGGCTGCGCCGCGCGAGAAGTTCATAAAAGAAAGAAGAAGAAACGTTGTTTCGAGCAAGGGGACGACACCTGAGTGTGCCGAACAAAAGTTTCCTGCGCCTCGTTGTCACCGACAACCTCCCCGCGGAAAGTCGCGAAGGGGAAGTGTGACAAAGACAGAGAGTGGATGCCACTTGACTCGAGAGGGTGAATCGTTATGAGTCTCGCTCGTAAGCCCTACTTAATACTTTAGCGCTTTATTTTATGCGTGAGATCGGGCACTGGTGTGTCGCTCGCATTTATCACTATAACAAAGAGCTTTAGTACGAGCAACTTTTCGTAGATGCGCTTTGTCCGAAACTTTATATGAATCTGCCGTTTTATTCATCGATTTGTAAGACTTTGTCCGCCATTCGTGACACTCTCGATCACATTTTATTTATTAGAAGCTCGATTTATTTGGTCGGTAAATTTAGAGCAACGAGCATCGGCGGAATGCCAGGAGGAATTCGTTGCCATTTGTACTAAGTCGACTTTACCGAAGCGGTGATTAACTTACGGCGAGTGAAATTACATCGAAAAGTGGGAGTAATTAATTCCCGACCGATGCAGAGGGAAGCGTCTGACTGTGACTCTTAGAATTCCGGAAAAAAAATTGATTCCGTGCGTGAGGGAAAGAAACGCGATAGGGGCACTTTATAAATGTCAAATCGCGGAGGAGAGCTCGACGGGGAGAGCTTTGCGACCACCTTGCTCAATAACAAGCATGTTGGAAAATTCACGCGCCGTCGAAGATTTACGGGAAAACAAATCATTTCGGGAGACACCGGGGATCGCGGGGAAATCTATTTCGGCGAACTTTAAGGATTATGCTTCTTGTGATTTATAGCCGTATCGGCTAGGTGCGTACGAACCACGCATCACATTTTGATACGAGATTCATGAATAACTCATAGGCTCGATGGAATAAAAGTTGTATCGAGTTAAAAAAAAAACTCTCTTCTATCAAGTCAACATTCACACCGTTGGTTGAAATTTGCAAATTTAATATAGAAATACGCAGGATGACAATATTGACGATGTACGGAATATGCTTGAGACAATGAAACAGTGAAACGCGATCCTCAGCTTCAGATATTGGCGGTTTTCTCGAATGCACCTTACTGAGTCGGCCTAGTTCGCATTTGGCTTCCTCATGACGATAGATACACGACTGCAGTTCAGTCAGGTGCTCGCCCTGAAGCCAGTAAAGTACGTAAAATTAAACCGATCAGCTTCTTCAATTACAAGACTTAACGGAAACGACGATCGAATGACAGTCCATTTTACAAATACAATTGCTTTGAGTTACTCACCGGCGATCGTATCATTCCGGCTGATTATAGGTCTTTGCAACCCTTACAGAACTGCTCGTCATTCTTGATTAATCATCGAGTCGACAAGAATGACGAGCAGTTCTGTGACACGAAGAAATTTTCAGAAGAAAAATTTTCTCTCTACGATCATATCGCAAAAAAAGTAACTCGCCAGTTTATCTCGCAATACTACGAATCGATTTTTCTATCCAGCGTTGCTTCCTCTCTGCTAGTAAGTCTCGGCTGCATCATTTCTCGATATGTGGCTATTTGCGCTTTTCCGCGAACCGGTCGTTCCTCATCCCATCTCCGTTGTCCTCCGACCGTCCGTATCTCTTCTCTTTTTTTTGTTTCGATTCCCACTTCACATATTCATACGGCGCTCTCTTTTCTCACAATAAATGCCGACCATTTGCATGTAGGGAGCAAAATTCCCTTCGCAGGGGCGAGCGCCGCGCGTTCCCGGGCTCCACCACCGCCTCCTTCCCCTCCCGCGCGATAAGCCGTCGCTAGGGATCCGCGATTGTCTCGATTTATATGCATGTACAGACGTAGGTGGTAGGTCGCGCACTCCCGATTCTCATACGTCGTACCGGGTGGAACGAGGATATCCACGCATCGATAGATCGATCCTCCGGCAGACAGTAAATATCGTTGATGAGCTGGTCCGGTCCAGTCAGCGTCGACAGGGATTTGAGAACGCGGAGGAGGTTCGGGGTGCTTACCCTGCGATTTGTCGAGTGGTAGAAATTTCTCCGTTCGCTCTCAATCCCCTATCTCCCCGTGGATTTTTATCCGCTCAGGTCGTTCTTTACTTTTTTCTCAGTAACATTTTGCGTATTTTCCCATCCTTCGTTGGAGGCGACGCGTGCTTCGGTAACGTCGAGGGTAACTAGCGAGAATAACAACGGGCTTGCTTAGAATCCCGAGGATTCAAATGAAGATAATTTGTTTCTGTCCGTTGCGACACCGAGTATTATAAGGATATAATAATTTAATATTATATTACGTTATAATAAAATGTATATTCAACATCAGTTATATAATACAAAGATTAAGATCCTTTATATAGCGACTAAATAAAAGATAAAAAATCGACTCTTGTACAACCCTGCGATGTAGATTTAAAGAGCGCGGATAAAGTTTTTCAGTTACCAAAGTTTACGTCATTTGATGAAAGTCATTTCTTACAACTTTGAAATTCTATTAAGGGCAGGGACACGAAGGACGACGAAAGTTCGAGAGAAAAATCTCTCATCGAACGGGGCAGTTAATGGAAAATGATAATGAGCGAACGCGATATATATCATTTCTTTCGTTTATGCTTGCAGGTATCGCTCTGCGACGATTATAGTTTACCCGTCGATTTTGTAAACAAGAGACGTCCTGCCAGCGCCGCGGCTGCAACCTCCACAGTGCAATGGGCACTGCCAAGTCCGACTGTAGACAATGTAAGTGCTGATTAAATAATTTAATATTTCTCAAGAGAGAGAGACATTTAAATATTCTGTTACATTAAAGCCAACACTAGTTTATTTATTTTTTTAAGCATAAGATATTCACGAAGATACTTTGGCTACAGCAAAAAAGTTTCACGCTAATCAAATTTAATTTGTTTATTGCAACTCCTATTATTTTATTATGATGCTTTATGCGATATACATAATTCAATTGTGGAACAATGGCGTATATGGCACAATTAAGGAGATTAAATGGTAAGAATGTATAACTTTTATATAACTTTAATGCTTTTACGCAATGCGGCGTTATTATATTGCGGTGACTATGGAACTTTATTCACCGCAATCGCGCGTTTATCCGCATTCACAGTTCAATGAATTCTACGTTAAGCAAACACACTGCCGCTATGCGTTCACGCGTCCCCATTGTCGTTCGTTTACAGTCCGAAAAAAAAGTTTATCGATATTTTCTACCCACGACGTGCAGTGAATCAGAAAGGTTAGGGGTTAGTCTCGCAAAAAAGTAAAATTCTTCAAATAATTTTTGCATATCTATACGAAATATTATATTATTCGTGAAAATATGATATTATATATATTATATGTCGATATTTCTCTGAGAGTGAAAGTGATTGATATTCCTGTGCTACTAAAAAACACTTTTGCACGTGCGCCTTATCTTACACCGCTCATTTTTCTTGCAGCTCTATTTTATTTAACGCCTTATCTGCATAGTTTTAATGTGTGTGTGTTCTTAAATTATCTTAAATAGTATGGAAATACTGCCTTGTTTCTCTTAAATTAAGAGCGATCGACATTGTAGATGTGACATTTTCTTCGAAAGTGCTATTCTGTGTAACGGCGTTATTTATGTTATGAACTGTATAGCTATTCACCATTAATATAGTTTGACGTTCTACAAGGCCGCAATGAACATTAATATCTGTATCTCGCAATGAAATATCTTGATATATAATTTTATAATTTTTAAAATATGACGAGTTTTATTTTTTATATTTGCAATAATTAAGTTTTCGAAAATGATACAAATAATAAATATTTATCTATTCTGAATATGCTTTTTCAAAATGCGATATTAAGATATGCATACAGACGTAAAAATTATGCAAACTTAACTCGTAAAATACTGCAAAATCGGACGGTTGGGCCATCTGATAATTACACCCAATTATAACGCGGTGTCCAAACAATCAGATTAAAGCCCTCGATAAATCGAGCGGCATTAACGACCAAACATGATCGGGTGTGACTCGTATACCGTTTGCACATTTAACATTATGTTCAAGAGATGGCCTTTTAAGAGTAATCAAACAATACGCACACAGAGAGGACTTTGAACAATTTGAAACACCTTGTATATTTATTATTTGTTATCGTCTCTCTCACCATCGCGCAGCTTTACGGATTTACTTTACCCGCTTAACGAGGCATCGCTATAAATCCGCACATTTTCATTCGCCGAATTAAACGGCAATTCGTCGCCGGTATTGCCGATATAACCCCGCGTAATCGTTTTCACAACCATCGGCGCGGGATTTACTGGCGGACGTGTGTTGCGAAAAGTCGACTCAGCCCGTCTGTCATCAGATTTGCGACAACCGATCGAGCGGCCTTCAACCGCGCCTGCAACTCGTCCCCATAATTTCCGTATAAATGTATAAACGTACCCACAAAATTTATTCGTTCCACGAAGGAGAAATCGCACGATGGGAGAGAGGAGAGGCGGGCCGGTAGATAAGATGGTTGGAAGCAATCGACTTCGTCTTCGAAACAGCCCCTGGAGGCACAGCGCCCAACTTTGGCAGGAGAATTCCAATTTTGGGCGTCTTTCAATTTAAGGCTACTTACTTGTCTTCCCCACTGTCGCCTTCTCGTCCGTCGTGCATCGCTGAGATGTCTGCTCGTTTCGCGTTACCGAGTTTTCTCCTTCTTTTTTTTTTCCGCTACGATCCCGATTGTCGATACAACGTTGAATGTGAGATCGAGAAGGAGGAAAGACGCTTTTATTTCTTTTCTTCGTCCAGAATGTCGAAGAGTTGCGTTTTCTCCTCATTCCGTGCTATTTGTTCTTTGTCGTTTGCTATTTGGATTAAAGAGAGAGATCGTTTATTATTATTATTATCGCTAATATCGACGAAGCATCGAAAATATCGTGTCATCGCGACCGAATGACTTTCGCAGGAAACACAAGAGAACCCTTTCTCAATAATAGTCGATTGAGTTTTACCGAGGGGATTTTACTTCTTCCTGTTCGTTTCTTCGAATTAAGAATATTGAAACAAATGGGACGTGTAATTACGTTATCAGTATTTAGAAATATTACAGGTTTAATCTCTGTACAAACGAGATATTAATGTTAGCCGTCACCTGACCGATTATTTGAGAATTACGTTTAATCTGCCGAGTACACATGTGCCAACGGAAACAAATTGCTAGCCGTGGTTGTTTTCTCTCGAAATAACGATCATTATTTAAGGGACGGCTGGGAGCACATTTTCGTGCCAAGATATTACCGCAATTGGCTACGATTCAGGATCCGAAAACGGCACCGAACTAACACTATCGGGTCGAAACTAGTTCCAATAATAACCCTTCCAGAAAACGTTTCTTTTCGGGACGAAATTAAGTGTTACTACGCGAAAACGCCGAGAAAATACGTGCCACTAAATTAACATTGTTACGGCAACCAGACCAATAACGCATGAACGTTTATTCGGTTGTTACGAGTGGTATATCAAGTGGAAGAGCAAGAATTGCGTCATTTAATGAAAGCGCTAGATCGATCACAATTTTACACGAAAATACACGTGCCGAATGTGCACTTCGGCTAGTAACAGAAGGAAATAATTTGTGCTTTGTTTGCAGACGGAAGTCGAGATTGTGGAACAATACAGCGACCCTAGAGACAGCAAGAGTAAAGCGTACGTCGAGCCGGGAGTGGAGTCGTCCTTGCCGACGATTTATAGCAAAGCAAATCGCAACTACTGTCGACCTTACACAGGTAAGTCTATCCTCTGAGTCAACATCGGACATAATAATACAAGGATGTAATTCTAGTTAAGCTACAACAGCTGTTATGCGTTGGATGAAACATATAATAGTTTTTTGTTTTAAAAAACAAAAAGATATAAGAAATATGTAAATAAAGCATATATTTTAAATTTTACAATGTTCATGAATCTCTGAAGAAAATGCAATTAATGTCTTATAATTATATTTTCATCAATTTGTAGCAATTATTTTGCTCAACAGCATTAATTAATTAATTAATATTAGTCAATATTAATTGACATATAAAAATAATGACGTTTAAAGCACGATTCGTATAATTTCGTTTAATAAGGCGTTTAATAAGGCGAAATTTATGATATTACATCGATTGATTATTGATGGTATGCGATAAGTTTCGGAATAATGCAGTTAAGCGGAAATTCTCATGCCAAGCCGCAAATTAATGTGGCGAGCCCCCGGTGTTATCCGCCAATACTACGACGTACGAATTATCGAGGTAACAACTCAGTTAGCGCCGGTTAAGAGAGGGAGAAGAGCCCCTCGATAATTGAACGGTACGCACAGGTTGGTCGCGAGTGGCTAACGGATTAATCGACGGGATCGGGCGAAATGGGGGATCATCTCTTTTTGGCGGTGGATGATACTCATCGATTCGGGAGATTGCCAAACCGCTGGGCGGATCCGCACAGATTAGAATCTTTCGTCCTTCCCGGGTCTGAGTATCGAGTGAAACCTAGAGATACTGACATCGAAGTTACGAATTAAATTCCTCCTCGCAAAGGAATGCAGCGGCTCGTGATTAACCCTACACTTGGCTTGTCTCGAGTGTACGATCCAAGAGAATCTGGTCCTGATTCGTGACCCACGTGGCGCGTCACCGTATATTCCGACATTCGAGTATGCAGATTGCCGTGTAATACTAGTCCCGAGTAAACACCGGCGGAATTTGCGTCCTTACCATATTCATGGGCTTTTAATTCGCGAGTCATCATGAACGTGGCAAGGATCAAACGTGCAGGGAAAATTTGCGCAAAAGTTTGTTTCTTCCCTTCGGTATTAGAGAAATCATATGATCTTTCGACTTGTCCTTTTTTAGCTAATAATTTCAGCGTGATAACTTTATTTAATATATATTACGCGCGTTATTACATTCCCTTGTAGTTATCAAACAAAAGGAGAACAATTCGCTTAACTTCCTTTGTCACGAAATATTATACAATATATCGCATCTTTCGCCAACTCGCGCCGAAATCTCCGCAGCCAGGCTTTCGGCGGAGACATTATGAGATTAAAAAATAAATTGTCGTCCGCGCGCCGTTCGCGGAATGCCGTTCCTTTCGCGAGAATTGAATCAGCAGTCGCGTCGATGCTCGAAGAGGGTTGAGTATAAGAGACGCGAGGGTCGACCGAATGGAATTTTCAGACTGGCCGCTTTATAAAAGGGTACCGATGACGCTGAAACGTCGGGACGGCTCGCCGCCCTCTGTTAACTTCCGGCGATAGTCGCCGTCCCGCTGCTGTCTGTTACTACTGCGAGACGCTCATTCGTTCGTTGGCACCAACTTTTCGGTCTCGCGGTGTCTGTCCCCGACGTCGCTTGCCATCGACACCACACACGGTGTTCCGCCCCCCTCCCCCCTTCCCTTAATATATGTCGTGTGATATTTAATTAAACTTCCCATCCCTATCCTCGTCGCTGAACCACCCGCTGTACCGTCCGCCCATTCTCTCTCATTCCGCTTTCATAGTTCGTAAAGTTTCAAGGGGTATTTCAATCCTCCCTCCCGCATTTCCCAGCGCCGTTCCACTTATTAACCGTGTTTCAACCAGGCAGGCCTCTCGACAGATTTTTTCGTCCTTTTCCAAAGTACGCGCTTTGCTATGCATTAAATTAAAATGTACGGCCGATTACCGTTAGAAAAATCTCGGCGAATAGAATTGCAAGTTTTTAAACAGCATTTCAAATTATGTTAAATCGCTAGAAATATAAATTTAAACTCAGTAAATTACAATACTGTTTCTTTAATCAATATTTATTAAATTTTATTGAAGTGTATTATAGTCATACCACACAATTTTAATCATGTTTAATATCGCACGAGTGTTACTGTTACTGAAAGAACTTTCGGGCTCCTCGTTTGTTCGTGCAACCCCTCTTCAAAGTTACCCTCATTTCAATTACTGGTACCAGGTGACTTGTAGCTCGTTCCGCGTCCCCGAGCAGTTAACGCCCGTGCGGGTTCATCGTATGCAAATGTCAAGCCGTCCGTCGGTTTGTCCTTCGTCCGAGCGGGAGAAGGCGGGTCCAGCGTTCATCAAACGTTGGTCAGAAACTGTCAGTGTAGTTGTTAGCGCGAATTTATACGCACCCAACAAAGCGCCGGGTTAGAGCCAAAGGCTTTTCAATGTAACACCATCTGATTCAACTGTCCGATTGAGCGCGATAAATGCATATTCATAGCTAAATACTTTCGAGAATATCCGATTTCTATATCATTTATGAAATTCAGCTTTGCATGTATAAATGGCCCGAAAGAGGTTTGTTTGATCATCATGAAGATGAATAGTCAACAAAACCCTTCTCTATCCTTGTGCCTCCGACCTGCCATCCTCGATTATTCCTTCTTACTCTCTTTCCTTCTCTGTCTTCTTCTCTTCCTACCGTCATTTCCCCTTCCGCCACACTCCGGAATACGCCGCACTCCATCCCTCACTTTCTCGCGTCGTAAACTAGATCATTTACAAACTGTCAACGACATGGTTCCAACTCATCCGATGGCAAGTACGTGTGCTTGGATCTCGAGGCGAGATCTTAATCCCCCCGCAATTTCGCAAGCTGAATTCGGGCATTGCCGTGGACGAAATGGAAAGCTTTTCTTTATATATATTTGTTGATATCAAGATAGTTAAACTGACATCAAAGCTTTTGACTCTACTACACAGATTTCATTAGCAGTCATTTATGAAAGCTTTGTAAGCATGTTATTAAGTTTCGTAAGCATGTTATCGAGTTCCGAAACTGTCCGATTCACTGCATTCTATTCTCGTTAGCAATGCATAAATGAATTAGTGTCGTAATCCTATCATTTCGTTTCGTTTACCGTAAAACCAAGTTTCTATAAATTGGCGACTGTTTTAGCTTTCCCTCTGGCAATTGGCTTTTTCAAATTTCGACTTTTATGTTGAAAGTAGTTTAAATAAAAAGTAATTGACCAGATTTGTAAATGAATAATGTTTTTCATCTGTTTTCGTACAGAAGAAATGCATCATTTATAAAAGCTTTCTTTGTATATCATAAAATGAGTGGGTAGTATTGTAATATTGCAAGTCAACTTAATATAAAACTTTTAGATAACGTTCTAGATTTGTCGCTTGATACTCGCTGCAGACTCTCGCAGGGCAAAGGTCGCTACTAAGCTACGAAGCGAACCCTTCGTCGTGAGGGAGCCCTTGAATTCATTTCATGGGCAATTGCAATTAGCATTTATGTCGCGATTTGCATATCATTGCGAGACAATTTCGCGCGCGCTTAGCCTAATCTCTGTGTCAGATGCTCTACCGTTGCGCAAGAAGCGTTCATAGTTGCTGAAGATCGCTTATCTGACCGTATAAATTATCGAAATTTCTGGTGAATTCGTGACTTCTGAGGTAATTCTCTTAACGAGAAATATATAATACACACATAAGCAGAATTTATAAATATTTAAAATTGATATTTTATATACATATAACAAAATATCAGGTGATTGCATAAGTTCGTGCCCGATTTAAATATAAACTTCAATAGATTATATTTTACTCCATTTTTAATGATTTTTCTTATGCACAAATGGACTTATCTGAATAATGTCTGACGCTAAATTGACATAAGACAACGTCATCTATTCGGTGTAAGCAACAATTACCACACGAAAACAATAGAACTCCGCCATGCAGTAACTTAATGCCATCTATGAAAATCGGGCACGAACTTATGCAATCATCCAATATTACGAGAGATTATTACTTTTTTCGTAAACTTATTTTTAGATTTTTAACTCTAAAATTTTTGTAGCAATTAAATATAAAATAAAATGTTTGTAAAAGTAAAATAAAATTTCCGTAAATGTGAAATGGAAATATAAATTCTGAAATTACATACGACGTTAAAATGAAAACTCTGATTTCTCGTTAACTTGGTGATTCGCCGCGCGATGAGCAGCGCAACGTAAGATTAAATTCGAAAGCAAAAGTAAACTCGCGACACACGATTAATTCGAAGAGTCCATAAAGGGTGCAGGGATAGAGGCACAATCGGACGAACACTTGAAATCAGCGGCCAGATTTCGGACACGTTCGAAAATCCTCTTGGTTTACCTATGTCGGATTGCGTCCCTTTCCGCCGCAAGCAATCATGCCCACGTGTGACCACCGACGTAGATTTCAATTGCGCAATGTCTACCGATAGGGAAGTAGCGAATAATCCACACGTCGTTCCCCTCTCTCTCCCACGAACGACAGCTTTGAGCTGCACCGTCGCCCATTCCCTTTTTGCTGCCGCAAAACTCTTTCCAATGATTTCAAACATTGATTTTATTGCCAATAAAATCAATTGAAGCTAACGATGCATTTACATAGTCGCCTTTAACGAGAAGCGAAATTACTGTCGAGGATCTGCCGAAGCGTAATGGGGTTTAGGGTTGCGCGTTTTTTGCGTGTTCTACTCGTCGGATGAATTCGCGATTTGTATCACTGTATCCGATGTGTTCCAGAATCATTGATATTTCAAGAACGATCTTTCGCACGCGATTAATCTAAAATAAATTTTAACTTAGACCGGACGAGATCATGGAATTATTACTCAATACGTGAAATCATCGAAAAATAAATAGTGTTCATGACGAGAACAAAAACGTCTTCTCTCGATCTAGCGCTGTTAGTTTTATCGATATGCTACCTCAGCCTTTTATACGAAACAGTAATCAAAGGAAATCGCATTAGAGCGGTATT